GTAATTTATCATTTCAAATGGGACAATTTCCCAACAAAATGAAAATAGCAAAGATCCAACCAATAATCAATAATGACAGGCCTGTTTCTCTAACATTCACGACTCAGCAATAATCAATATGGATTCAGAGCAAATCGGCCAACATCAGCAGCTGGAACCGACTTAATAGAATAAATGACCAAAGCAGCAGATAGAGATAAATTAGCTGAAGGGTTTTTATAGATCTAAAGAAGCTTTGACACAATTAATCATGATATATTAATTTAAAAATTAGAACGTTGTGGGATGGGGGAGTACATCTGAACTGGATGAGGATTTATTTAAAGAGCAGAAAACAGTTTGTGAAGATGAATCTGATTGGGGAACCTCAGGGTTGGTACTGGGACCAGTTTGATTTAATTTGGATATAAACGACAAGCAAAGTGTCTAATGTATTAAAATTTGTCTCTGATGAAAACTTACAACTTCTTTCCATCATCGCCTCAGAAATCAGGAAATTAAAGAAACGGGTTGACAAAAATAAATGATCACTAAATTTGGATTAAAATCATGGTTTTTGGAAACTGTTAGAAAAATACTAAAATTCAAGTTCAGATGGTGGATCTGATGAAAGGGTTAAGTTAATTTCTCTGTGTAATAATAGATGGTAAAATCAGTTGGAAACCTCATTAAACATTTACAGAATAAACTAAGTAGGAGCATATAGGTCCTGGCTGAAGCCAGACATGTTCTGAATAATAAATCACTTCATATTCTATATAAAGCTCTGATTTAACATATTTAACATTTTGTTCAGAGGTTTGAGGATTTAATTACTAAAGCTCTTTACATCCACTGAGTTTCCTACAGAAACTTTAGAAACAATAATTAATGTTATTATGGAAACAGAAACTTTATTATTAAAATCTAAAACTCTTAAATTTGAGGATGTTTTATGTTTTATGCTGCTGTTTGAAATAAATAGATACACATAAAATCAGCTGATCGATCGGCAGCAGGGGGTCAGAGTTCACTCTGTGGGGGGTAAAGCCACCAGGCCTGGTTCTGGTTCTGGTTCTGATGTCTCTCTTTCTCTCTCTCTCTCCAGGCTCCGCCCCCCTCCACGGTGTCCCAGGTGTTGGACTGCAGGTATCAGCTTCGCCCCCTGTGGCCACCAGAGGAACTGCAGCTAGTTCACCTGTCTCTGTGTTGCAGGTCAGAGGTCGTGACCTTCCAGGGCCGGGTCACAGAGAGGGTCAGTCTGATGGACAGGAGGGAACGAGCTTCAGGTAAAAACGATTCCACTCACCTGTCCAGGTGAAACAGGTAACCGTTGGTAACCAGGTGTGTGTCCAGGTGTTCGTCTGACGGTGTGTGACCAAAGTGGGCGGAGCCTCTGTGTGTACCTGGACCTAAGCCACACCCCCTACCCACCTGGTCTGTTGCCAGGTAACCAGGTGCTGCTGTCAGGGTTCCTGAGGAGGATCTCCAGGTAGACCACATGATCACCGGCTGACCTTTAACCTCTAGCCTGAACTTTGACCTCTAACTTGTCTCAGGTCAGGCAGTGTGTACTGCTCCCTCTCACCTGTCAGCTGCATTACAGTGACATCACTGGGAGACTGCAGCAGGTAAACCTGGACTCACCTGGACTCACCTGCTGCGTCCACCTGCTGCTGACCGTCTGTTGCTCCTGGTTACAGCTTGGCCCCGCCCCCTGCTCCCAGCATGCACCTGGCCCACTGGGCCTCCAGCAGGACTGTTGAGGCCCAGGTCAAAGGTCACCTGGTCTGTGTCCTTCACCTGCAGCTGCAGTGGAGCTGCAGCCATCAGGGGGGTGAATATACACAGGTAACACACACACACACACAGGTAACACACACACACACACACAGGTAACACACACACACACAGCTAACACACACAGGTGTTATTACTGCAGTGAATCAGAGGTTCTGAGGTTCTGCAGGTGTAACTGGACCTTAGAACAGTTTTGATTCTTTTTGTCTTGTGACAATTTTGGACTAAATGGGAAAAAGTTTGGCCACTCCTGGGTCAGAGGTCAGAGGTCAGGGCTAGGGGTTAATGGGAGACTTTATTAAGGTTCAACAGCCCAGTGGGTTAATCCAGGTAAATTATATTGTTTGGAGCCGAATCTGGGTCAGAACTGGACTGGTATGAGGTTCTGTGGACAGACAGACGGAGCTGGGAGGGAAAACAATGAGTTTATTAATCAGACAGAGAACTGAGGGAACCAGTGGAGAGATGGAGCTGGAACCAGACAAGCTAATCAGAGGAGAGTGGAAGCAGCTGGGAGAACAGGAAGAGGAAATAAACCGAAGCTAAACAATTAGCAGAAATAAACCTCAATCTACAGAAACTAATCTGAAACCCAAATAATGGAAACCAGCTGGACGAACACAAAGAATAAACTAGAATATCAGAATCTGAGAACGTTGGAGAAATGATCTGAACATATCTGGGGTTAGACGTCCAAACAGCTGCTGATCAACAAGAAGATTTGAAGAATAGTCTCAGTCTGATGCTCTTTGCTAACCAGGATCAGTTGAACTGAAGGGAGTTTTCTATAAATGTGATTCGGTGCTATAGAGATTAGCTGAATTTCAGGTAAAAAAAAAATCAATAAATGTGTTATAGAAAAACCCAAGGTTGTTGGTGCCTGTCGCGGCGGCAAACCTTGAACCCGTTGGTGGACACCTTCGGTGAGGGATGCTGTCAAGCTGAAGAAGGAGTCC